GCCGCATAGCATATCCGACCACGCCCTCTGACGTCTCTGGGAATGCCGCCTACTCCTCTGGCACTATCAGTTTCTTCGCCCCAGACTCCAGCATGGCGTCGGCAACTCCAGCATCCGCCTCCAAAGACCTGGCGGCTCCCACTGTTGCCCCGGCCGTGGCCACCGACTTGTCCGCCGTCGTCGCCAACCGTTCTCCGCCGCCAAGTCCATCAACAGCAGCGGTCGATTCCTTCATACGTTATCGAGCGTCCGATGACTCCGAGACGGGGTCTTCCGGCATTGCCTCCGCGCTGGGACCAGCCCCGGCTGTTCGCTAGTCTAGACGGATGGATCCAAATCATCTGGACGCTTCACTCTGCATCAGATTAGCTCGTCAATCACCGTAACCATAAGGATCCGACAGCAAAATGAATTCAAGGCAAGGATACTTACACGTCGGCCTCCCTGTATACGGTTCTGAACTGGTGCTGCCTCCCCAAGCCCCTAGGCATGGCTCTAGGATCAACCCGCGTGCCTTGGGCTGGAGGTCTCACGGCCCTCACCGTTGACCTCTCCTCCGCCTGTTGCTCGGGGACCCCGTTCGCCTGCTGCTCGGGGACTTCCTTCGCCTATTGCTCAGGGACTCCCTCCCCTCCTTTCGATGGCACCTCCACGCGCGTGTTGCGCGGCGGCGCCTCAGCGCTCGGAGGAGGAGCCACTGGAGCCCCGTCGTCGTCTGACCACTCGAACATCACTGCACTCTGCGTCTAAGTGGTCTGATCACCGCCAAGCGAGATGTCGCGCGGCATGCGGGGAGCTACACCCACCATCTTCCTCTTCTTCCAGGCCAGCTCATCTATCGCCGCCCTTTTCTCCTAGACTTTCTCTAACACCTGGGGGGACTCTCCGTCCGACCAGCGCCTGCGCCTTCAGACTCTGACGAGGAGCTGACGGCACCTTCCTCTGGCTGAGTAGTTGGCCGGGCATCCACTGCCTTCGGCCAATCGCTCCTCAGCATGCCCGAGAAGTACGCCGCACGTTCCTACGAATGGATCTTTCCACAAGTGAATCAGCTCACTGCTCGGCAACGGTACAGGATAAAAAGCATCAGGAACAAGCAGTTGAGAATTTTACCTGAGGAGGTGGGTTCGTGCAGTTGAAGGCTCTCGTCTGCCCTGACACGCTGAACGAGACATTCAGAGCGAATAGTTTGGCTGCTCAGCATATTACATCATCTCTTGATAGCCTCTCCGTCCTCTCTCGGGTGCCGTCAGTGTCCCCCTTGAAGTCAAAACCCACGTGGGCCCTCTCCTTATAGGGCTGGACACGGCGTACTATGAAGCTCGCCGCCACCAGTCCACCGTTCATCTTTATGCCCTTTATTAGGCTGAGGAGCTCCCTCACCTAATCCATATCAGCACTGCTCGGCTTCTCCGACCAGCTCTTCTGGTTCTCCGGAATGTGGTCGATGTCGCAGCGGATGTCAAGATGGCTCTGCTTCATGTAGAACCACCTGGCGTTCCACCCCTTCAGCAAGGTGTTCAGTGGTACAGTGATGTACTCGCCCTCCATCCCATCATGGAGATGCAGATACACACCGTCGACCACTTTGGAACCGTCGCCGCCCTTCTTCTTCAGCCAGAACAGGTGTCAGAAGAGGTTGAAGTGGGGGAGAATTCTGAGATACGCCTTGCAGAAATGGATAAAAATAGAGATGTGCAAGATGGTGTTTCGATGGAGATTGCACAGACTCACTCCCAGAACTCCAACAGACCCCGCAAGAAATGATGAATGGGAAATCCTAACCCACACTAGAAATAATCTTCAAATACTACGGCTTCGTCGGTATGCGGCATCGGGAAGGGTTTACCATTGGCCGGCCGCCATCCGGCGGTGACACGGTCAGGAAGAACACCCGCCTCCACCATCCCTTTCATCTCTGCCTCCCCCATGAGTGACGACACCCACTCATTGTCATGGCTGGCCCCGGTGGCCGCCTTCTTCAGGTTTCCAACTCTCCTCTTCAGCGCCATCTCTCAGATCTGGTTTGGGATTAGCGGCGGAAGCGCATGTGAATATGAATTGGGAAGCGCGAGGGTTGAGGAGGAAGATGAAGTGGTGAAGTGGCAAAGGTGGGAGCGCGGAGTGCGGCGGCGCAGTTATAAAGCACTCCCCCACTTTTCGCATTCAAGGGTTTTTGGGAAACCGCTCCATGATTTGCGCCTCTCCGAATTCTCTAAAGTGGTATGACAGGCCGTTACCTGGGCTTCCGCACAACTGCAGCCCATATCGCCCATTTTTCGCTGCAATTTGTTACTACTCACCGAATATTCACCGACTTCTCCGCAATCCATTAAGGCTAAGTAACTCCTGCTGTACAGCCACTACTCTGGTTTTTTTTCCATGATTTGATTTCTCCAAGGTTTCCATTAGTGGCTTGAGGACTGCGTCAATCACTATGACTTGGTTTCTCTCCACACTGGGGACTTTCTTTTGTTCATTGTTGTTTCTGACCCCGGCACCACGTGACCACGTCACCTACTGTTAGGCTTGGGGACTAAGTGGGCACACTTCACCTTGCGGTGAATGTGCTTTTCTCATTTTGGGGCTCCGCCCAGGGACTGGCTGCTTGCTCGGCTGGTCTTCTGCTTTTCTTCTACTTTGGACTCTGGCACCATGTGACTACGTCACCTACTGTTAGGCTCGGGGACTAAGTGGGCACACTTCACCTCACGGTGAGTGTGTTTGCTTTAATCTGGAAGACTCCGTGTCTTCTGAAGTTGAAGAAGACTATCTCCCTTTCTCGTGGTCAGACTCTAAGTGGGCACACTTGGTCCACTGCGAGGAAATTTTCGATTTTGAACTTGAGCTCCTTATATCCTTATGGCAAGCCTTACTTGGGATGCACTGCTCGGCGATGGTTCACAACTGCTCGATGATGGTTCACAACTGCTCGGCGACTCATCACAATGGTCAGACCATGAGTCTGACTGCTCGACTTTGTTCACACTTGCTCGGACAAGCTCAAGACGATGTTGCACAACGGATACAAGGTGCTCGGGGACTAGCTATGGGGGATATGACCCCGGATACCCACGGCAGACCACATGGACTGCACCCCTAGGGGTGACCCAGCCCACAAGACAAAGCCTTGCGGAGCACGGCGCTGCTCGGCGCGCCCCGCAAGACACCGAGAAGATATCTTGAAGATACTACGAGATCTGTTAGGATATGTATGATCCCATGATTCCTGTAATATGTTATTACTTTCCGGTTATTTCCTAGATCTAACCGACTTGTAACCCTGCCCCCTAGACCATATAAGGCGGGCAGGGACCCCCTCAAAACACACGCAATATCAAACGATAGCCAATACAATCCAACAGACCACAGGAGTAGGGTATTACGTTGTGCTGACGGCCTGAACCTGTCTAACTCTTGTGTCTCTGTTGCCTTCTTGTTCTCGATTACACGTATCTCTGCCGATCAATCTACATTCGTGGGATACCCCTCGGAGGACTGCCAATGATATTCTATCGACACACACTAACCATTTTTATGCTTTCTTTCTCTCTTGTACATTTGCATTGGGAACTCTGTCCTTCTCCTTATTCCTCTCCACGTCATTCCGTATAATTATTGCCCGACCGATATGCGCATATATTTCCACGTGGTTGGGTCGATTTTTTCAAGTGTAGAAAGATTAGAAGTTGAAATGGAGAGTTGTTGGAGAGCGTTTTTTTAGTCTTGCAAAAGAAATCATGATTGGGAGTGGGTTTTGGAAATTCTTGGAGATGCTCTAAGTTGCAATAACCGAATGAAGCCCGTTAATAGAGTTTTTTTTTAAGCTAGGTGATTGAATAGTTCAAAAGTAAACTATAAGAGGCACATCTCCAACAATATAAGCTAGCACTAACTTTAAGTTGACAAACGTGAAGGAGAGGCGGAGAGCAACAACCACTAGGCATACCGTGTCGTGTGAGAGAGAGAGTGAAATGTGCAAGACTATCTCTCGGCTCCACGCTGGCCTCTTCTTTTTTGCATTATTCAACGAGTAAAAATTTGAAGGGCGGGCTTGGTGTAAGTGGTAGAGTCTTACCGCCTGTGACCGGAAGGTCCCGGGTTCGAGTCACGGTCTCATCGCATTGCACAGGCGAGGATAAGACTTGCCACTAATACCCTTCTCCAGACTCCGCATAGAGCGGGAGCTCTCTGCACTGGGTACACCCTTTCAATGAGTAAGAATTTGACTTAGCTAGCTCTAAGTGAGACCACTGGAGACGCCCTAAGCTAGTTTATCTGGATTGGTTAGAGCTTTTTTAGCTGCTACAACTTTATTTTAGTCAATCCAAACATAGTCTAATGTGTATAACCTTACTACTCTGCCCGTGAAAAGAAAGCGTCGATTTTTATGATGCCAAATACATATGGTTAGATCCATCGTGGAATATACCTAATTGGTATCACAAATATTGACCTTCTTTATTAGAATAAAAACCATTATTATTCTCTAACAACCTTGTAGATACCCATCACACGAATCAAGAAAAAGAAAATATCCTTCAATGCGTATCTACACCCTACAATCATATCATAGAGATTACACCTACGCCAACCTGTACCACATCATCTCTCTGTAATCTTGAACACTGCCACGATCATGCCCGGTATACAATGTAATGCATTTGGCCATCTCATCTGCACACGTATCAGGGTTCGCAGAGCAACAGAAGGAAGGCATTTAAACGGGCGCGCAAAGCCTCCGGGATATCCACGTACGCACGCACGCGCGGTATGTAACGAACTGTCACCAGATCGGCGGAGGGATCAAATCAAACCGCTTTTGCGCCATTCACGTCCGCGGCGGCGCCGGGCAGAGGATCCACCCACGCCGAGTCGTCGCCAGAACAGTCTCCACCCCCGCGCTCCCCGCGCGTGCGCGCGCACACGCGCATATATAAAGATCCTACCCCGCGCGCATCTTACTCGTCCACTGCACCACCGCCCAAACCCCCGTGGACATGGCCGCCGCCACCGCAAGAACCATGACGATGGCGCCCGTCGTTGTCGTCGTCCTCGCCGCCCTCGCCCTCTGCTCGCTCTCGCTCGCCACTACAGCCGGCGAGGTGTCGTCGTACGTGGTGTACCTCGGCCAGCACGCGCACGGCGCGGCGCTCGGCACGCACGGCGCCGAGGAGCTGCAGGCGCTGGAGCGCGGCGCCGCCGAGGCGCACTACGACCTCCTCGCCGGCGTCTTTGGCGGAGAGTACGGACGCGCCGCGATCGCTACGATTTCTTTTTCTTTTTATAAGATTGATTGATTGATGAGATGCGCAACGCAATGCCCTGCAATGCAGCAAGGAGAAGGCGCGGGAGGCGATCTTCTACTCGTACACCAAGCACATCAACGGCTTCGCCGCCAACCTCGACGCCGCCGCCGCCGCCGAGATCGCCAGTGAGCCTGCTTCTTCTTCTTTCTTCCCTCTTCCGGCGACGGTCACACTGACTAATCTAATTATTTTTTCCTGCGAATTGATCTCTTTCGACTACTAATTCTTGTCCCGTTTCTTTCTTTCTTATCCTCTGACCAGGGCAACCCGGCGTGATCTCCGTGTTCCCCAACCGGGGCCGCAAGCTGCACACGACCCGGTCATGGCAGTTCCTCGGCCTCGCCGGGCCCGGCGGCGTCCCCCGCGGCGCGGTGTGGCGGAAGGCCAAGTTCGGCGCCGACACCATCATCGGCAACTTCGACACAGGTGAGCTAGCGCTACCTACCTGCGCCGATCGATCCCTCCGCCATTGCCGCCGTATACCCCGTCGCTTCGGTGTTCTCCGTAGCCATCGTTTTCGAGGCAGCAGTTGGCGATAAGATGCTGTAGTACCAGCCGATGCTATCGACTCGCCCATAAACATCGTCATCATCATCATCCTCGTCTGCCTCTGCGCCCGCCAAACAACAACGCCTTTCTTTATTAACTTAACTACTAATTCACCAAACAGGAAGACGTACGCTCTCTCCTTAATCCTTCACAAAGGAAAACACACGCGCGTGCGCGGGCTCTTTTTTACGCCTTTCTGCTGCATACTATATATGTCAATTCTTTCCAGTTTGATTGATCATGATATATACAGTTGACTTGATTTTCACTCAAAAGTATGTAGTGGTAGAATACTGTAGTGCTGCCAAAAACAGGAAGACGTTTCCTTAATCCTTCACAAAAGGAAAACACGCGCGCGCGCATTTTGCTTTTACGCCTGCTGCTGGGGTAATTCTTTCCAGTTCCAAATTATAAGACGTTTTTCACTTTTAGTGGTAGAATTTATAAAAAGAGGTTTTAATCTTTTTGATATAGCACCTATAAGATATAAATTTTGGCTATGCACCTAGATATAAATTATGGCTAGATACACGGTAAAACTATGTATTTAGAAAAATGCCAGAACGGAGGGAGTATTTGTGTTCTTTGGAAACTGAACTTCAGAAATTTTGATAGAGCATTTGTGTTCTTTGGAAACTGAACTTCAGAAATTTTGATAGAGCATAGTCAAAGGGTGGTTGAACGGCATTATATTTTCAATAACAGTTGCGTATTAATAGAAAGTGGTCGAGAAATTGACCAAAAAACGGAGTTAATCGTCGTCGACTGGTATGCAGTAAAGGAAAAATTAAACCTGCCCAGTATTTCTACCAACATGTCCAGTTCAGTGGGCCCGCATCTAGAAGACCAACGATTGTAGCATCTCTATCCATTTGATTTAGCACCTAAACTTTTGTATATTTATCTCATACTATGCAAACTGAGATGCACATGTCCCTTCTTCTGATTAATTAAGAGCCATGGAACAACACATCCACAGTGGCCTTTTCTGAAAAACACATCCACAGTGTTTTTTGCTGTTGACTTTGCCCATCAATCAAGTAGCAAATCGACAGGCCCAGTTCATCAGTAAAAAAGGCACAGGACCATCCAATGATCCGGCCGGCAGGGTGATGTGTGCATTCCTCCTAACTTTCTCTGCATGCTCTTTGTTCTGTGGACCTTTATTAGGCACTGCTGGTGAACTCATTAGATTCAGATGCAGCCAAGACCTTGGTGGACATCTAAAGAGTGTTCTGCATGCCTGAATTTTCTTCTCACTTTGATTTGAATTACATATATATCCGGATGTCGTTTTTATATCATGTGATATATCCATGTGGAATTTGGCATGCTTTGTTGTCTCACAGTGTGTGTGCTTTTGTGATGCAAAGGTGTGTGGCCGGAATCTGAGAGCTTTAGGGATGATGGTCTGGGGCCAGTCCCATCCCACTGGAAAGGAGCCTGCGACAAAGGCCAAGATGATAAATTCCATTGCAACAGGTAATTATAAGGATAGTTAGTGGCATATGTATTTACTGCAATTCCGCACGTTCGTGAAAAAAAAAACTTTACTGCTTTGACTGCGAAATAAGTAGCTTTTGGATTTTTGTTTGACAAACCTTTAAAACTCTGACCATGAATATCTTCAAAAACATAATAGATTGAAGATTGATGTCACTCGATTCACCATGAAAAGTACTCTCATAATTCTATTTCACTTTTCATTAAAGTCTTATACATTTATGGATATAGATATATTGTTAGTCATAAAACATTACATTGGGGACATGCAAGTCCAACTTTTTATTATCTTTCAAGAAGTCTTGAGTGTTGTTTAGAAACTCTGCTCCGATCCAATTCTTGGAGCATATCCAGCGTATGCGATGCCAAAAGGTTGAGTTGCTTGGTTTGGTATGGTGTAGCACTACGAGTATTGATGAGGTTGATTGAGTTGAGTTGAGAGTTGAGACCACCACATTGCACGCATGGCTGTGAGTGTGAGACCACCACCAGTGGATGCCTTAGATCAAGCGGCACTGATCATCATGGGCATCCATCCATGCATCATGATTGAGCTTGATCCCACTCAACAGTGCTACGACGTCGATTGATGGCGTGTCTCAACTGTAGATTTTAGAGACCTTTCAAAGATTCTCAGCTTGAAAAATAGAAGGAAACCAGTATTGTCCTGAAATAAAATGGAGTAGGCTCAATCAAGTTTCTTTTTTGTTTTCCAAATGTGAAAGATTTATTCATGAGCATTCTAGAAACCAGAAAAGTTATACTGGAATGAATACTGAATATCTGAAGTTAACCTAATTTCTCTGCATATACTGAGCAGACAAAACATTCACATTCTTGTTGCTCAAATTTTCCCTTGGTATCCATAATACTTTACTTTAAAGAGAAACCTATAAATGGGGAGGCAATGCCAGCATCGTCATCAACCACTGTACTACATACAGGGATATTTCGTTTCAAAAAAAAAAACATACAGGGATATCATGTGAACTTTAGAGAAGATGGGGTTGGATTTTATTCTCATCCTTCTTTGCTTTTTTCTGGATACTGAATTGCTTTTATCTGATTCATCATTTGCATTGTCCTCATTTTGAAGAATTAAACTTACTCCCTGTTCACTGACACATATTGTAGTTTTACTACTGAGTTCTCAGAAACAGGCAGATCTGAACGTAGTCAATTTCTAGTGTCACTTTAAATGAATAGTGCGTTCTCACTTCCAGAGTGGACAGGGCATTTCAGTGTCTGCCATTCCCGATACATCTTTCGCAAAAACAATTGCTATCAGCCCATGACCAGTAGCAAGACAAGATCTAACCGAAGCAAAAACAATACCACTAGTTAAAACTTGGTTAACTCTGCAAAATGTCCTTCGTTTTACTGTATGTAACCCCAAAAGTTTATGAGTTGGAAGTTTTTCATACGCCCATAATGCTAAATTTGGATAGAAAGCTATTTTTTGTGAACTATTATCTTGTTTAGATAGATCGAGTTCTTCATGTCCTGATCACCGCCTTTTGATCGCTTTTGTTTCCGTCCGGCGTGCTTCTGCGTAAAGGAAGCTGATCGGCGCGCGCTACTTCAACAAGGGCTACGCGGCGGCGGCGGGCGCGCTGAACGCATCGACGAACACCCCGCGCGACCCGGACGGGCACGGCACGCACACGCTGTCCACGGCGGGCGGCTCGCCGGTTCCCGGCGCGTCGGTGTTCGGGTTCGGCAACGGCACGGCGTCGGGCGGGTCCCCGCGCGCGCGCGTGGCGGCCTACCGCGTGTGCTACCCGCCCGTGAACGGCAGCGAGTGCTTCGACGCGGACATCCTGGCGGCGTTCGACGCGGCCATCCACGACGGAGTGCACGTGCTGTCGCTCTCCCTGGGCGGCGACCCCTCCGACTACTTCGACGACGGCATCGCCATCGGGTCCTTCCACGCCGTCCGCCGCGGCATCGCCGTCGTCTGCTCCGCCGGCAACTCGGGCCCCGGCCTCGGCACCGTCTCCAACCTCGCGCCGTGGCTCTTCACCTCGGGCGCCAGCACCATGGACCGCGAGTTCCCGTCGTACATCGTCTACGACCGCACAAAAAAGGCCAAGGCATGCAACCCCTCTTCAAAATCTCCTCTCGCTAGACCACCGCACAGCGGCCTCACAAAGATCAAGGCACGCACGCACGCCTCACCCCTCTTCAATTATTTCGTTCGTAGTTTTGCTTACCCATCGATGGATCGTTCATGCAGGGGCAGAGCCTGTCGATCACGACGCTGCCGGAGAAGACCTCGTACCCGTTGATCGATTCGGTGAAGGCTGCAGCTGCCAATGCAACCACTAAGGACGCGTACGTGACTGACAGTCTCCAAATGATCACCATTCACCAGTGATGATACTTTTGCTGATGTTTATTACTGATAAAAATGATATAATTGTGATGATTAATGGCGTGCAGGCAGCTGTGCATGATTGGGGCGCTGGACCCGGCGAAGGCCAAGGGCAAGATCGTGGTGTGCCTGCGCGGGATCAACCCCCGGGTGGCCAAGGGAGAGGCGGTGAAGCAGGCCGGCGGCTTCGGGATGGTGCTCGCCAACGACGTCACCACCGGCAACGAGATCATCGCCGACGCGCATGTGCTCCCGGCCACGCACATCAAGTACCGCGACGGCCTGCTCCTCTACAACTACATCAACTCCACCAAGTAAGCAGCCGTTTCATTCCTGCCGCTCAAAGTTTCTTTCTTGTGACGGAGGAGGCATTTACACTGTTGCTGATGTCATGTTAACCTGCCAGGAATCCGACTGGCTTCATCACTAAGCCGGCGACTGTCCTTGGCACGAAGCCGGCGCCGTTCATGGCCGCCTTCTCGTCGCAGGGTCCCAACACCATCACCCCAGAGATCCTCAAGGTTCATGGCTTTCTGACTGAACGATACATGGCTCTCCTGCGGCGGCGGACGGCTTGACGTTTTTCATGCACGTGTTGCAGCCCGACATCACGGCGCCCGGAGTGAGCGTGATCGCCGCGTGGACGCGCGCCAACTCGCCGACGGACCTCGCCTTCGACCCGCGGCGCGTGGCCTTCAACTCGGAGTCCGGCACGTCCATGTCGTGCCCGCACGTCTCCGGAGTCGTCGGCCTCCTCCGCACGCTCCACCCGGAATGGAGCCCCGCCGCCATCAAGTCGGCCATCATGACCACAGGTAAGCCGCCGCGCCGATCGCCATTACTTTGGTTGGACGCTGACGGCCGTTTCGCATGAACGCAGCGATTGAGGTGGACAACAAGGGAGAGCTCATCCTGAACTCATCGTCCCGGTTGTCGAGCCCCTTCGGCTACGGCGCCGGCCACATCTACCCCACCCGCGCCCTGAACCCGGGCCTCGTCTACGACCTCGGCGACAAGGACTACCTCGACTTCCTCTGCGCGCTCAAGTACAACGCCACGGTGATGCCCATGTTCAACGGCGCGCCCTACACGTGCCCCAGCGGCGAGGCGCCCCACCGCATCACGGACCTCAACTACCCGTCCATCACCGTCGTCAACGTCACGTCCGTGGGCGCCACGGCGCGGCGCAGGGTCAAGAACGTCAGCAAGCCCAGCACGTACAGGGCCATCGTGGTCGAACCCGCCGGCGTTTCCGTGCTGGTGACCCCCTCGGTGCTCAAGTTCAGCGCCAAGGGGGAGGAGAAGGGGTTCGAGGTGCAGTTCAAGGTGAAGGACGCCGCGCTCGCCAAGGGCTACTCGTTCGGAGCGCTCGTCTGGACCAACGGGAGGCAGTTCGTGAGGAGCCCTCTTGTGGTCAAGGCGGCTTGATTAGTTGAGCTCATGGTGTAGGGTTTTAGGAAGGGAAGCAGGTGTAGAGAGGATGCATTAGTTTGATGATTTGTTAAAACTGAGGCTGGGAACTTGGCCTCTGATTGAATAAATCATATATAATTATTATATATATAAGCAAGTTGTTTCTACTTTCTGTAACAAAAACCTAATCTGTGTAGAACTCAAGAAATTTGCTAAAACTGAACTCTCGCTGTTTTACAAACTAGTAAAACCCTTCTGGACTCAGAAAAGGTACACATTCAACTTAATGTCAATATTTTATAAGTTTCTCAGAACTTTAAACAGACAAATCAACTTTTGAGTAAAACTTTCCACTTCTTAACCCAACTTTTGGAGTCAGAAAGGGATACATTCAACTTAATTTTTTTTTTAAGTTTCTCAGAATTTCAAACATTAAATTCGACAAATCAAACTTTTGACTTTGAATTTTAAGCTTTCCACTTTGTAACCCAACTAGTGAAACTTCTCAGTACTATACATTATCTCCAGTCATCATTCAAAATTGATGGCCACAGTAGATGTGGTTTAAAATGGATCGGCACAGTAGATGTGAATTGTCTTCTTTCTTTCCTTTTTTTTTTTTTTGCTAGTTCTTTCTCACTTAAAAAGCCCCAAACCATAAGAGGAGAAATCTTCACAGTTTTCCATAAGAGGAGAAATCTTCACAGTTTTGTCTGCATTCACGTGTCTATCAGTCTATGTATTAGGTACAGAAAACAAGTGTTTGTTCTCAGAAACAAGAGAAAAAATGAAGCATCTCTAAAAGTAAGCCCTTTAACTGGCCAAACAGTGTCCTAGTTCTTTAATCACTTTCACATCAAATATTCAACCCTGGAAAGGGTTCAGCAAACAGAAAGCCAGAAACGGCTGCTCTCACGAGTCTAACCACCAAACAAGAATGCAGCAGCTTGCTCCTCATTCCCGTTGAACAGCTTGAGCGCTTGTATTACAGATGCCCTGTCAAAACCAAGCTCCACAAGCTTCGTGACTTTCGCTTCAAAATCTCCTCCCTGCTAAGAAGAGTTTCAGAGACAATTAGGATAAAAGGTAATTCATTAAGACACAAATGTGACCATCATAAATACGATATAGAAAGGTGTTTTTTAACTTCACCTGTGGAGGGTTTGCAACTGGAGCTCCTGCGAGTAAAATGAATGAGTGGTTTTGAAGTTAGTTCACGGTTACTGGTTTTAAATTAGTTCACAGCTATCAGAAGATTACAAGTGCATGGAACATATAGAAGCAATAATAATAGTGAAAAAAAAGCAGTAACCTGAAGGAGGGGTTTGTTGCGGCGCATTGGGAGTACCCTGACGCGCCCTTGATGATTCCTTAATTATTCAAAGAAAATAAGGATATACCAACGGTAAATACCACAGTTAAAGAAAAAATAAAGTTGCATCATGCAATGGTCGAGTTTGCTTACTCCAGTTGCTTGGCCGAGAGATGCTAACTTAGACAATTTCTCTTCATCATGTATGTGTGCAGGGATGTCTTTCTCTGAAGATACAATGATAGATTGATTGGTGAATTCAATTACAAACTCAATATGTGAATAACCAGATCAATGTACGAAACTTAAAGAATATATATATCTAACATTCTAGCCTTCTCAAGAACTACAGCTAGAAGAAACTGTAAACAGGTGGCCAATAATAATCCGCTGACCTTGTAAGAAGGGCACTGAAACCTCACCACCTCCCACTCTGAGAACATTGTCCTTTAGGTCAATCATGCACTGCATAGGACCATGAAAAAGCATGAGGCACAATCATGTCAGATGCATTGACCTGGTCCAAAAATTACCCATGCAATTACCTGATGTTTTCGCAGCATATCAAGCCCGAATAGGAATTCCATATTCGGGGCATCCAATACGGTGAAAGAACAATGATAGAATTGATGCCCAATCTGCCAAATCAGAGCTGTTAGTCAATGCATATATTGAACTAAATTGTATGATAATGTATCAAGAATTTCATAAACATTGAAGCTAAAGTATGTTTATTCCAAGGAGTTTTCACATGGCTTCTACAAAATATGGGAGTTTGTCTTTCTTCAACCATAAGTAAGAAAAATTTTAATTTATTTTTTCTTCTCGTGACCGGAAGGTCCCGGGTTCGAGTCGCGGTCTCCTCGCATTGCACCGGCGAGGGTAAGGCTTGCCACTGACACCCTTCCCCAGACCCCGTACAGAGCGGGAGCTCTCTGCACTGGGTACGCCCCCTTTTCTTCTCGTGAGATGGATTTGGTAACAACACTCTTCAAATTGCATATATACTGCAGCCATTCTCAAATGAAATTTTGTAAAACCAGTGATACCTTTATTGGGGCTACATGTATTCTTCCCAGTATCTCTGATTGACCAACTCCAACAGCAACCCCTCGGAACCGCTGATCAAGAAGCCTCAGCAACCTGCACAATGCATTACAGTATGTGATGTATCTTACATACTCCAAGCTGAATATTTCAGTTTACTGTAAATATAGAATGATTACTTTTTATTATTCAAACTGTAAAGTTTGCCTACTCCTTTCACCCCAAATAAATCAACTTGTAGAGTTGTCCTAAGTCGAACTATTTTAAGTTTGACCAAATTAATAGAAAAGTGCACCAATATTTATGACACCAAATTAGTATCACTAGATACATCATGAAATATATTTTCACAATGTACTTATTTGGTGTCACATACCCTTTCCTATGAAGTTGGTCAAACATAAGATAGTTTGGCTAAGGGCGATTCTAGGAATTGATTTATTTTGGGACGGAGGGAGTACTTGATAAACTTTGATTGCTACCTAATATTACTGTTCTCTATGCTGAAAATCACAAAAATCATGGTGCTGCAAATATAAAACCTAAACAGCTAAACAACTAAATTATAATCATACCCACAACGTTCAGCGCAACTTTTTGATATGATAGTCGATTGCGCCCCGCTGTCAACAAAAGCCTGTAGATGAAAGAAGAGTTAAGAAAACCTAACCAAAACAATCAGCAGGAAGCAATCAAATATTGTGTAAACCGCAATTATTGATATATCCTAGTAATACAGGTTCATAAAGAGAAGACCTATAACAAGCAAAAGTTAATATCATGATTAACGTTTTATATTTTGATACACAATCCTATCAGTTACATGGACACCAAATTCAATAGAAGTAACCAACAAAGTATATGCTAGTTTTCTTATATTTAAAATCTCATACAAAAACAATGTTCTAAGAACAGTGGGACTCAACTGATTACAGGCAAATATATGTATGAAACAGTTTAATACCTTCAAAGGTACACCATTGACCTCCATATCCACATATAGCATTACCTGTCACAACAACAAAAAATGTCAATGATTAATAAATACTACAAATAATAAAACATTTGAGTAGGACTGTAGGAGAATACTCTTTCAGGAGAATTGACAAAATAAGAGGAAGATCCTGAGAGTAAAACACACCACTCGGGCAAATGATTCAGGATTGTGCTCTAATGCAGCCTCCCAATTTTCATCTATGCCTTTCTGAAATATTGAAAGATTAACAACAATATCAAATATTTGATCGAAGAGGAAGATAAAATAAATTACGGGCAAGATTTGAGACAGAATAAAACTTTTTGCATGCTCAAAACAGTATATATAAAACAAAATCTTGTGATACCAATTCATGAATCTAGCAGAAGATGCATGATGAAAGCTGCTTTTCCTGTAAGAACCTTCCTGCGCTACATCCCATTAGCATGCAGATTTGTTGTTCGTTTTTTATTTTTTAGTGTATGTTCAAGACTCCTTAACACAGTAGATGTTCATGTAGTGATGTCCATCATATGTCATTTTACCAGTGATATATGAAAGAAAAGAAATGTTGCCATAAGCAACATTTGCTATCCTGAGAAAAGTAATGCCTACCTGCCGGATTGCAGCTTCAATTTTCTTCTGAGCTTCGACATCAAAAGGATCAGCATACAATAAAGCCTGCAAAAAAAAGGCAAATGTATTAGCTATGTGACCACACTATCATTTAACAAGTTGGCAATGCAACAGAGTGGACATGAAAAAAACAAGCCACAAAACATTGATACGTTTCTGATAGAACTTGCAAATATGTTTTCAATGAAGTAATATAGGAAGCAGCAAGGTGATACTTTTTAAAAAGAAAATGCATGTAGTGATTCAACGAATTTTCATGTGAACCGGTGAAGATTAAAATCACAAGTGATCTATACTACTCTGTATGAAGTCAATGCATGAAAAATCAGCAATCCCATATTTCATTTGACATGATCTCTTGCTGAGCAAATAAAATTCAACAGAGAGATTCTCACAAGCTCTTCTTCTTGTTTACGTTTCAGTTCCGTTTTCTGTTGGTGGCGAGACCGCAGGATATTCTGTAGCTCATTGGTGTCATCTCCAAGAATAGCTTGTGCTAGTTGAGGATCATTCTGCAAATCAAGGAAACATTGTTCTAGAAGAGCATGTTGTTGGCAACTAACACACCTTGGTGAATAAATGAGGCCACAAGAAAAGTTTACCTGAAGGAGCTGTGCCATAAGATGTGAATCACCTCGAATATGTTGTTGAAAAGCTTGAGGGTTCACAGCAGTCCCATCAGCAGGATTTATCCTTAAATTATCCTGAGATGACCTGAGAGTTTCAGCCAAAACAATTAATTAGGAGGAAATTGGTGCTTTGGTGGTACCTTGATTCTCAAGATTAGTAGTTAAACTAAGAAAAGGTCCTGTATGTCTTTCGATATGGTGCTAATTCAAAGTTTTGAACAACATAAGCTATTGCATCTCTTTTAATATGATGCCAATAAATCAAAATAAAGCATTGGTACTTTCGCGGCATCTGATTCTTAAGGATTAGTTAAGAGGAATAAAAGCAAATGCATCTTTTTGATAAAAAACAGATTCTAAGTTTTGATCAAGATGTACTGAAGGCAAACTAACAGCTAAAGAAAGACAAACCATCTGGACACCAAAACGGAAAAGAAATAATTTAGTTGTAACAATCTAAACCCTTTTTTTGTGCAAGAAACTAATAGACAACTTTACGTAATGTAACACCTGGTATGGCCAGAACGCATTACATCAATGACGAGCAACGTGACAGGAATTGTGTTCAGTTTCTCAAGAACATCTCATATAAAAGGCACAGCTATAAGTAGCACATGTCAATTTATCTCCTTTATATACACTAGGAAGGGCAGCAAGAGCACCTTTCACTGGTGGGAAGCATCATGACAAGGTCGCCATCCCGGACCCCAATGGCGCTGAGCTTCTCTGCGTTCTGTATTTCCTTCCCATTGAAGTGAAGCAGCTGCTGCTGCAACGGTACTCGAGTCTGGCCGCACACACACACACAGACAGCCAAAACCAGCAATGTGAGATCAAAGCAGTAGCAGCAAAGCTTCAGAGAGGAAGCTCAATTGAGAGTTTGAGATCCAGGCCCCGCTCACCTCCACCTCGAGAAGCGCCTTGAGATTTTCCACCTGCAAGCACGTAGGACTCACGATTTAGCCAAAAGATTGAAGCTTTTGCATCGCAGCTCATTGTAGCTCTACGACGCGGAATTCAACACGAGGAAGGGGATCGGACGGACGGATAACTCGGTACCCAGGCCACCACCACCAGAATTAGCAAGGAAAAGATCCCACCAAGCACGAGAAATCACGCTATATAATGACCCAATTGCGAATCAGCTAGGTTAAAGCGCGCCTTACTCCCTCCCAATTCCAGACTCCCAGCTCTCATCGTGGATTCATCACCAAAATCAGCGAAACAGAGCAGCCTTATCTAACCAGTATATATATAGATTGAGATGGAGACTGAGATGGATGGAGGTGCCGGCGGGCTTACGGATTCGTCGGGGTCGACGTCGAGGGTGAGGATCTGCTCGTCGCCGGTCATCACCGTGACCTTCATCTCGCCGCCGCCGGTTGGAATCGAACTCGCGGTGACCGGTGAGAGAGAGAGAGAGAGAGAGAGAGTCGGGGGCTGCGGGCGAGGCGGGCTGAGTCGAGGTGGAGTCCACGGTGTCAATCAGTTTTGGGCTTTGGTTGCTTGACCGCACCAGGGGTTTGCTTGGAGAGTTGGCAAAAATCCGGAACATCAATTATCCGAGTGACTCGGTACGGGACTTGTATAGAAATCCCAAAGGCGGTTAATTTTCCCTCGTACGAGTCGGAATTGGAGAAAGAATCCCAAGTTTATATACAGCCCCCCTCTCAAGTCCCAACACGGCAACACGGGCACCATATAGTCAGTCAATCACTCAAATCAACGAAAGGGCCAAAAGCGTCTTCTTGGTGTTCGTTGGGTTTTTTCTTGCGAGAATAAACCGAACTCGCACGGTGTTTTATAAAAAATAAAATAAAATAAAATAAAAAGAAAACGAGTCACTGCCCACTCCAAAGCGGCCGACCGGGCCCATGACCCATCGGGCCGTTTCTATTTTCCACCACTAGCACCATCTTCCGTGCCCCATCCATCCAATTCTCTTGCCCCAGTGTGCCTACAGACTTAGAGGGACGAGGGGAACGAACACCTGCCGCCGGTCGCCGCCGATGGGGAAGCGAGCTGCTGCAACCTGCCAGCACCCCCAGGTCTCGCAGCGGCCGCGGAGGAGAAGGAAGAAGACGCCCGACGATGTGGCAGCGGCATCAGGCCTTAGCTCCTGCACCTGTTGCAGTGCCACATCCCAAGCCGAGCGACGGCCGAGGCAGCAGGGGAAGAACCCAAACACTGCGCGGAGGCTTCTTCGCTCCTGCGCTACCGCCACCGCCACCGCGCAGGCTCGTCTTCGTCGCCATGCCCTCTCCGTGTCCTGGGGCGGCAAGCGGTCGCGTACCGTTAGGTCCGGCCCCGCCCTGGGCTCCAGGTGGAGGGACTGGGCGGGTCTCGACGAGGGCCCAGCCAGCCTGATCGCCGACCGCGTCCTCGCCAACGACGTGGCGGACTACGTCCGGTTCCGAGCCGCGTGCCTCCCGTGGCGTCGACGCTGCGCGGACCCGCGCACGCGCGGCGTCCTCGAGGACCCGCGCCTCTACCCGCGGCAGTGGATCATGCTCCGCGACGACTACGAGGAGCTCGCGACCGCCGCCGCCCCGCACCGCCGGTTCCTCAACACCCGCACCGGCCAGTGCGTGCAGGTGGACGTTCCGGAGCTCCCGCCGACCACGGGCTTCCTGGAGTATTCTCTCGGGTGCATCGGCGAGTGCATGCCGTCCTGTGCCGGCCTCCTGGATCACCTCACGGTCTACCTGTACTTCTACAGCAGACATGCCGGGACAATGGCCATTGCCCGGCCCGGCGACGACCGCTGGGTGCTGCTCAACACCGGGCCAGAGCTAATCGAGTGCACGGTGTTTTTTGCTGGCCGCTTCTACGGCGTCACCGCCAGTGGCATCCTCGTGACAGTGGACATGGCCGGAGACGACAGAGGTCCCCGCCTAGTGGTGGCAGCCGAGCGGCCCAAGCCGTTTACGTTCAGCTCGATGACGGACACCGTGCACCTGGTGGATAATGATGATGGGGATCTCCGGCTTGTGCATCGTATGCTACGCCCGGTCCGAGGTTCTGACGATTACTTTACTACACTTACAAGAGGATGTATAGGGTGTACAGGGTTAACTTCAGCACAGGGAAGACGACGACCCGTGGCCGTCGCAATCTTGGAGGTCATGCCATGTTCATTGACCTTCACGGTGGGCTCTCGGTGTCCCCTCGGGTGTTTCCGTTCCTCCGCGCAGATACAATCTACCTGGGCCTGCATTGCGACGAGAGAAGTGTGGGCAAAGAGCAGATTGGAGCTTATCATGTCAGAGATGGAAGCATTGAACCCCCGTGTAACGATGACAGCCAGAGGCGCGGATTAGCGCATCCTTTGAGTATTGCTGATAGCCTAATTGCTTACGTAAGCGGCTAAGCTAGTTCAAAAACCTGGCGAGCCTAGTTTGCTAGATGATTTGTGGCTCAATGATCGGCATCTATTTTAATATGTCTTGGAATTAAACTCTGCAACGTTATTGGACGCATAGTATAGAAATATACATATAGATATAGTACCTCATAAACAAATACAAATAGCACCACGTGGATATACACAGTAGTTTCGGTTTGTACAAACAATATATACGGAGCTTTAGATGTTACATGTATTTTTGCTACTGCCATCAGTAATACAAGACGCATGAGTTGAGTTGAGTAATATAAGATAACGATAGATTATGACACTCCGTCAGGGTTCTTAAGACATAAGTTTCATGATCTCCCAGAACCCTTGTGGATGCGTCCATCGGTCGTCATCTGTTCCACTATTAAAAACATAATTTTAGAAGACACTCTTTGATTAATGGAGGCGGACACACTTAGTGACCACTCTTGTAAATGGTTAAGGACCTCTAGGAAAATATCCATCTCCAAAATCATCGAATAACGAAGACAGACGTCTTAGGACGACCGCCTCTATAAATCAATTTTCAGATACAGACATCTTAAGATGCCCACCTTTATAAATATAGTTACATAAAAAATTTATAACTTTTTTGTATGAACTTGGATGAAGATAAACTTTATATCAAAATTGTAGGCCTCAGCACGATTTACAACTTTGTAGTTGAAAAGTTTTTTATTGAAAACTGATTAGGGCCCTAAAATATTGTTGTAAGTTCACAGATTTTGAAATTTAAAACTTCTAAACAATCAGGGATATTGACATGGTGTAGACGAAAGTTGTAGTTCTCAATATAATCTACAACTTTGTAGTTCAAATATCTTTTATTTAAAATTGTTTACAGTCTCAAATATGTGTTCTAAGTTCATAAAATTTAAAATTCCTAAGCGACATCGAGTATTCACATAGTTAATACCAAAGTTATTGTAGCTGACCTGATCTACATATTTGTTGTTGATACGTTTTTTTATTTAAAGTCTTTGGTGTCTCAAATATATATTTTTTAAATTACATATTTTGATAATCAAAATTTTAAATTTTTTAAACAATCTCGGATGGAGAAACATCTCGTACCAAAGTTGTGGTGCTTGACAAGATTTAAAACTTCGTAGTTAAATTTTTTTAAATTTGAGTTCATTTAGTAGCAAAAATATTTAATATAAGATCATAAAATGTTGATATAAAAAGACAACATCCTGTACATAGTTACAAATAGACTAGTACAAAAATTTTTAGAGGCGGTTAAAATCGGTTTTTAGAGACGGTTTGAAAAACCGTTACAGTGCTACCGATTGTAAAATAAGTAATTTTCAGAGGTGGTTTTAGAACTACCTCAAAAAATCGATTTTCAGATGCGGTTCTCTTAAGACAACCGCAACTAAAAATCAATTTTCAGATGTGGTTTTTTTATAATTTCTAGATTTTTTTAAAATCATTTAGAAGACATAAAAATAAGAAAAAAATTAGTGCAGCTAGAGGTACAACCAGCCACTTGTAGAATTTAATTTTCACCATATTTTGATACAGTGTCTGTCGCTAGGATTCAAACAGGCAACCTCTCGCTCCGCACGCTCCATCCCCTTCCACTACACCACATGGTCACTTGTGACTTGTTCTATAATGCTGTCTATTTATACTAGGGGACAATTAGTTTTATAGCACTGAAAGATCATGAGAATCGAAAAATACCACTAAAAGATGCAGAGGTCACGTGAAATACCGTTGAAAGGTCACTCTGTTGCCTCAAACTAGCATTCTGCCACGGGTTGAGTTAACGACGTGAATCAACAGTGTCTAGCTGCTTCTTTCTCCTTTCGCACGATGAATGAATGAAGCGCTGCGGCGAGGTCAGGAGCTGTCACCATCCCGCGCGGCCAAGCGCTGCCGCCGTTATAGAGCGCGGCTCCCGCGAGGGCGAGGCAACTGCCGGCGGCGGGCGTGGCCACTGCGTTGAGGAGATGGCGCTGTCGTTGTTGCCGAGCGCGGCCCGTGCGAGGGCAAGGCGGCAGCAGCCGCCGCCGGGCGTGGCCACTGCGTTGAGGAGATGGCGTTGTCCTTGTTGCTGAGCGCAACCCGTGCGAGGGTGAGGTAACAGCCACCGCCGCCGCTGCCGGGCATGGCCACTGCTCTGCGAAGATGGCGATGTCGCTGTTACCGAGCGTGGCCCCTGAGAGGGCGAGGCAGCCACCGCCGCCGCTGCCGGTCATGGCCCCTGCGATGAGGGAGATGGCGTTGTCGCCAACTAGCGTGGGCGTGCAGAGGTGTTGTCATCGACGAGGCCAGGTGCTGCTGCTTCCGCCGCCATCCTCGGGCATGGCCCCGTGCCTGGAGAGATCGCCTTATTGCCGACTAGCACGGACGGGGACATGCATCGTCACCGGCGAGGCGCGACGGAGCGGAGCACGCCAGCCATCGTGCACTACTGGATACAGGAGCTTTGCCGAGTGTCAGGGGCACTCGGCGAAGTCCCAAAAACACTCGGCAAACGATACTCGGTAAACTTTTATCGGCAAACACTAGTTTGCCGAGTGTTTTCTGTCGGGCACTTGATAAAGACGTTGCCGAGTGCCAAAAAAAACACTCGGTAAACTTTTTTTCAGAAAAAAAAAAAAAAACACGCCGACACCACCGCCGCACCACCAGCACCGCCGCAGCCACCACCATCCACGCCCGCCGCCGCCGCCCGCACCATGCCGCATCCCTCGTCACCGCAGCAGCGACGCAGCCATGGCGCGACAGTGGAGCCCCGAGCTCAACCCGTCTCGGCACAGCGGAAGCTAGCTCTCTTGGGAACAGCCGCTGCCGAGCCTCCATCCTCGACCGTCGTCGCCTGGGAAGGAGAAGGGCTTGCCGCCGCCAGGGAAGGAACGCCGCTCGAGGCCACAACAGCGCTTCGTGGGCGTCGTGACCCGGGGCGCCGTGACCCGGAGCGCCGACTCGTCGCGCCTCCTGCAGCCCTCTACTCGGCCCCACGCTGCCACTTGGCGGACCCCACACCCGCCCCGCGCCACCCCTCCGCTTGGGGACGGGACCACGCGGCCCTCGCCGTGCAGCATCCAGCGCCGCCGCCCGCTGCAACTCCCCGAGCGAGCCCCGTTGGACGCATGGCCGAGGAGGTCCGTGCCACCGCCGCCGAATTTGAGGGGAGGAGGCGCTACCTCTCGCTGCTGTCATCGAGGTGGCGGAGGAGGGCGCCGCCGCGAGATCCAGAGGGTGCCCTTTGCTCGTCGCGAGATCCACCGTGCTCGAGCCCGCCGTTCTCGTTGCGAGATCCAGAGGGTTCCGAGGTCGCGTGCACCGCACGTGTGAGGAGAGGGCGCGGCGCCGGTGGGGGATGGAGCCACCGGGGGTGGGCGACGCGCCGCCGGGTGGGGATGGAGACGCCGAGTGGGTGCGGGATCTGTCGGGGTGGGAGGGAGGCGGCGTCGGCGTGAGGAGGGGAGGGAGGCAAGGGGGCGCTGGGGGCCGGCGTGGGTTAAGTAGATTTTTTTATGTTCGCCGAGTGTCTCGGATTGGGCACTCGGTAAAAAAAAATTCGCCGAGTGTTCTAGATCTGAGCACTCGTTAAAAAAAATTCATTTTTTTTCTTCTCCTTTTTTTTACCGAGTGTTCTACATCTAAGCACTCGGTAGATAATTTTTTTCTCCTTTTTTTTTGCCGAGTGTTCTAGATCTGAGCACTCGACAAAAAAAATCATTTTTTTTCTTCTTTTTTTGCCGAGTGTTCTAGATCTGAGCACTCGGCAAACATTTTTTTTCCATTTTTTTTCTTCTCCTTCTTTTTCAAAAAAAATATTTTATTTATTTGCCGAGTGTTTTTTAACACTCGGCAAACCATCTCTTTGCCGAGTGGTTTTTTTTGCTGACACTTGGCAAAACAAAGATTTGTTGAGTGTTTTTTTTTTGCCGAGTATTTTTAGGGAAGCACTCGACAAACAACTTGTTCGCCGAGTGTCCGAAGAAATACACTCGATAAACATAAAAACACTCGGCAAATTTGACGATTCCGATAGTGTCGTGGGTGGAGGCAGGGTGGAGCGCACGTGCCAGCCAGCATCGGTGGAGGCAGGGTGCTGGCGCAGCAGAGCTATCGGCATCGTGGCCGCCGACGCATGCGCAACTCGCCTTTGCAGCGTCGGAGTGATGGATAAGAGATCGAGTGGATTTCTTTTTGTTTCTACTTTATTTTTTGCCTCCTTTTTTGAAACAATTAATTTTTGCCTTTATTGATTGAAGGAGATCCACGGTGCCGACGCCGTTGCCTCGGGGGGTGACGGAATGATATTTGTAGATAACAATTCTATCTTTCGATGGTATTTCACGTAACGGTGTTTTTTCAGTGGTATTTTTTGATTCTTGCGATCTTTCGGTGCTATATATCAAACCAATTTTTCCTTACACTAATATTTACGAATCTTTTAATCAATATTTTAACTCGTAAACAATTTTAAATGAGAAAACTCTCAACTACAAAGTTTTAGATTTCGTTGAGCACTACAACTTTCATATATGACATTTCTCCATCCAAGGTCATTTGAAAAAATTCAAAATTTAAAATTCAAAATCTAAGACTTAATTTATATATTTGGAACCCTAAAAGATCTTTTTTTTTGTGAACTACAAAGTTTTAGATTTCGTCGGGCTCTACATTTTTTATATAAATTTTATCTTCATCCAACTTCATTTGAAAAAGATATAAATTTATTTGTGTTGCAGCTGTTTTACAGGACAGTTGACTTAGTCAACCGACCTTAAAAATCGATTTTTAGAGACGGTTAACTTAATAAAACTGCCTCTAAAAATCACTCATTTTTAGATACGGTTGACATAAGCAACCGTCCTTGAAAATAGCATTTTCAGAGTCGGTTCTCTTAACAGAACCGCCTCTAAAGCGGATTTCTTAATGGAACCGCCCCTGAAAATGGATCAACGGTCACGGAGCTACAGTGCTCCCCGACGACATTAGAGACGGCGTGCTAGTTTAACCGTATCTGATAGAAAAGAGAGATGTCCCTAAAAATCTTTTATGTACCGGTGATAAGTGTGTTGTGTAGTCATAGAGAGGTGCTAGTACTAAACAGTAGGTCACAGGTTCAATTCCTTGAAGATGTATTTTTCTTAGTTTTTTGGGTTTCCAAGAAACTATTTGCACTGAAAATCATCTATCTCCCCGCACTGAACTCTCCTCTCTCCATGCCAGTGCTGAAAATTGGTGCGCTCTCCACCTGGCTCCATGTGCTTCGAGCTGGAGGTGCATCGCTGGCCTCAAGGGCCCCCCTTGGGCGCCTATAGCGTGGAGGTCGACCGCCTGATGGAGGTCGTCAAGGCCTAAGGGCTCGAGCACGTTGCCGGGCACGGCGGTGACCTCGCGACCTTCGTCGTGGTGTGCTTCACCTTGATGCCTCCCACACCTCATAGCCACCTCGCCACCTTCGTCGTGGTGTGCTTCTGTGAGAGATAGCAGAGGGGATTGGATAGAATTGGGAGGAATCGAAGCAGAGTAGCCGGAGGAAGAAGAGGAACAGTGGGACGACGGAGGAGTTCTTCTTAGTTTAGGAAACAGAATTTGGTTTGACAAAAGTTGCTTCTCCTCTCTCACACGACTCTTTTAACGATTACGGAGGCACAAACTCTTGTCACGCGCGCAGGCGTCCTCAGCCGGCCCATTCATCACCGAAGTACTTCATGTTCGCCTTCTTGGGCCTTTGCGCCTTGGGCCGCTCTCTGGGCTGGCTTGTAGCTGGATCATCTCCGGATGGCGAGGTAGCAGCTTGGGCGGGAACGCTGCTAACACTCCCCCTTCCTTGGAACGCTGCTTGACCCCAAGCAGCAGCTCTTGGAAGCTCCTGACGCAGGGCCTCATAATCTTCCCAAGTAGCCAGAGAAGGTGGCAGATTGTTCCATTTCACCAACACTTGCTGAATGCGACAGGCACCAGATTCAGAGCAAAGTCAGATGGGAGATCAGCAATTACCTGATGGGCTGCTCCAACGGCCTTCTTAAGCTGAGAAACGTGGAACATCGGGTGTATGGATGAATGTGCTGGCAATTCCAACCGGTAAGCCACGGCACCGATCCGAGCAGTAATGCGAAAAGGTCCAAAGAAACGAAAGGCCAATTTCTGATGAGATCTTGGAGCTAAGGAAGTCTGCACATATGGTTGGAGTTTCAGGTATACCAGATCACCAACTGCAAAGTTGCGCTCAGATCGATGCTGGTCAGCCTGCTTCTTCATGCGGTGTTTGGCGTGAAACAGATGCTGCTGCAAAAGTTGATCCATCCATTGACAATCAGATGTCCAAGCTTCAACCTCAGCATGGACGGCAGCAGAAGGGTTAACAGCAAGCAGACGAGGAGGATAGCCATAGAGTGCTTCAAACGGGGTCCGACCAATTGCTGAATGAGTGGACGTATTGTACCAAAATTCCGCAGATGACAATCAAGAGCTCCAGTTGTGAGGACAGGCATGAACATAGCAACGCAAATAAGTTTCCAAGCACTGGTTGAGCCTCTCTGTCTGACCGTCCGACTGGGGGTGATAGGCCGAGCTTCGGCACAGCTTGACATCGGCTAGCTTGAACAGCTCAGACCAAAAATGGCTGGTAAAAATACGGTCACGGTCAGATATGATTGCACCTGGAAGCCCATGCAGTCTGTAGATATTATGAAAGAAGGACTTGGCAACCCCGGCTACTGAAAATGGTTGACGGAGAGCAATAAAATGTGCATACTTTGTAAGCAGGTCCACGACTACCAAAATGCAGTTGTACGATTGTGACAGCGGAAGACCTTGGATGAAATCCATGGAAAGGACTTACCAGACAGAGTCAGGCACCGGCAACGGCTGGAGTAATCCCGGGGACTTGGAGCGATCATTCTTAGATTTCTGGCAAATGGAGCAAGACTGCACAAATTCTTTAACAGCAGACTTCATACCTTTCCAGGCGAAGCACTGTTTAAGCCTCATGTTGGTCACGGGGACACCAGAATGACCTCCCTAAGCGCTGGCATGGAATTCCGATATCAAGCGCTGTTGCAACGCGGAATCATTGCCGATCCAAATACGATTACGATATCTGAGAATCCCATAATTCAACGTGAAATTGGGCACCGAGTTGGGATCCAACGCCAGCAAGGAAGTTGCAGCAGGGTCGACAGAATAACTGTGCTGAATAGCGGTGGACCATGTGGGCTCTAAAGCAGTCGCAGCAGCACAAACTGCAGAAGGGGCAGGATGGCGTGATAAGGCATCTGCTGCACGGTTATCAGTACCTGGACGGTAAACTATCCGATACTGCAAGCCAAGGAGTTTAGAAAAGACCCGCTGCTGCCAATAAGTGTTCAAGCGCTGATCACCCAATTGTGTCAAACTGCGCTGATCCGTCATGATAGTGAACTCCTAAAATTGCAGATAAGCTCGCCAAGTCTGTACTGCAAGGAGAATGGCCATAGACTCTTTTTCATATGTAGGGAGGCCGCGGGTCTTCGGCCCCAATGCTTTGCTCAAGAATGCAAGAGGGTGTCCGTCCTGCATGAGTACCGCTCCCACTCCAGATTCAGATGCGTCCGTTTCAATTGTGAATGACTTGTCAAACTTGGGTAAAGCCAAAACTGGAGAATTACAGAGGGCAGATTTGAGCGCCAGGAATGCAGACTCATGATCAGGCGTCCAGATAAACAATGTATTCTTCCTCAGTAAATTTTTCAATGGCTTTGAAATGATACCAAAATGGCCCACAAACCGACGATAGTAGTTGGCCAGACCCAAAAATGAACGGAGCTCCTTGACAGACGACGGCGAGGGCTAGTTGGAGATAGCTTCAATCTTAGATTGATCAGTCCCAACGCCTGCTGCGCTAATCACATGGCCCAGGTAGGATATCTTGGTCTGAGCAAAGGAGCATTTCGACAACTTCAAGGTCCACTGGTCACGGGCAAGAAGTTCAAAAACCATCCGAAGGTGCTGCAAATGCTCCTCTAGTGAAGCACTGTAAATCAGAATGTCGTCGAAGAATACGAGGACAAACTTTCTGAGATAGGGAGCTAGAGTGGTGTTCATAGCAGCTTGAAAAGTACCAGGAGCCCTCGTCAAGCCGAAAGACATTACCCTGAACTCGAATTGACCGAAGTGGGTTTGGAAAGCCGTTTTGAACTCTTCTCCTGCCTTCATGCGGATTTGGTGAAAACTGGCTTGCAAATCCAAACTAGTGAAATAAGCAGCGCCTGACAACTCATCCAACAACTCCTCAATAATGGGCACGGGGTACTTTCCCTTCACTGTAATAGCGTTTAACTGACGGTAGTCCACGCAAAACCGCCAAGTCTGGTCCTTTTTCACCAGTAAGACAGGCGAAGCAAATGCACTTGAGCTTTTCTGAATAATCCCTTGCTGTAGCATGTCATTCACTTGTCGCTCAATCTCAGATTTCAGCAACGGAGCATATCGGTATGGTCGAACAAATACGGGCTGAGCACCCGGGATCAAGGGTATGGAATGGTCACACACGGACGCTGTGGAGGCAAGCCAGTAGGCGGTTGGAACAGGTGATCAAATTCTGTCAGCAGCACCCGCAGTTCAGGAATGGTAGGAGATACCGAAACAGTGTTGTTATCCTCCTGCAGCACACACAACTGAATCACCGAGCCGACAGGCAGTTCAGGAGCATCGCCCACCAGAACAGTAGTGGAACCTTGGTATGGAATAGAGAGCCACTTCTGTGCCCAGTGCACCTGCATAGGGCTGAAACTAGCCAACCAATCCAGTCCCAGAATCATATCAAATGACGATAACGGCAGCAGCTTAAGATCATGTGTGAATGTGCATCCCTGGACGAACCATACTGCAGCTGGTATATGAGATGTGCACTGCAACACGGCACCATTGGCAACTTGCACAGACACGGTTGGGCGAAGCTCTTGAATTCCAGACAGAGACTGAGCCAAACTGGAGCTAAGAAAGGTGTGAGAACTACCAGAATCCACCAAAATTGACAATGAAATCCCCTGAATGGAACCAGTAAGGCAAAGAGTTTTAGGAGCTGATGCACCTGAAATTGCTGCCACAGATAGATGCATCATTACTTGCAATGCCGCTGGGGATGGTGGGCTTGAGGTTTCTGCATCATCACTGTAAGGAAACATATCAAGCAATTCTTGCACCAGATGTAACTGAACAACCTCAGAACATTTGTGTTCCCGGCTCCACTTAGCACCGCATCGAATGCACAAACCACGGGCACGAAGTGACCTGAATTTTTCTTCAGCTGTACTCGTGGTCACCTCCGTCACCCGAGGGGCATCAGCAATTGCAAGCTTCGGTGGAGGAGGTGGAAGAGGAAGTGGCGCCTGCCAGGCCGGCTTCTGTCCTGGCATAACATCCATACGCCGATACGATACGGACGCTTGATCACTCCCATGGCTTCTTCCTGCAATTGGGCAAGAATGCAAGCAGTATCCAGTGTAGAGGGACGCTGAACTAGAACAACAGCTTTAATCTCATCGTGCAAGCCGTCAATGAAACGTTGAGTGTAGTACAGTGGATCGGGGTGCTTAGCATAGGCCTTCAGTTTATCTACAAGAGCTACGAACTGATCGATGTACTCGGACACAGGCCCAGTCTGACGAATCTGAAAGAGGCGACGCAGCAGCAATTTGTGCTCGTCCCGTGCAAAACGAGAGAGCAACTGCGAACAGAATTCAGGCCAACGCACTGACTCAAGCTGATCTTCGACAGAGGACAACCAGCGTTTCGCTGAGCCCTAGAAGTGCATTGTAGCAGCTTGAACCCACACGGCACACTCGACACGATACAGTTCGAAATAATGGACTGCTTGTTTGATCCACAACTTAGGATGATCTCCATCGAATTTTGGAAAATCAAACTTAGGGACTTGCCGGTATGGCCTCCCCCACTGCCCCCCTGGTGACTCGACTCCCAGTGAGTGCCCATGTGTGGTGGTGGTGGACGCAGTGGCGGACACGGTAATGGATGGGGAGAAGCAGGACGGCAAGGCAACGTACCCTTGCCGGGAGGTGGAATCAGAGTGGTAATCACTCCGAAATCACATCCCGGTTCTGAAATTCGTCACGGTGCCCATCTGGCCGTTTGGCTACGAATCCCGCAGATGGGCGCAGGGCAGCCAGAAAGTCGCCTCCGAGCACGGGCTTGGGTTCATGCGGAGAGGCGGACTTGTGGTCAGAGATGGTGGCAACCGGCGAAGGAGGTGCAGTCACGAAGACGCCCGGAGCCGGTGTGGCGGAGTCGACCATAGAGCGTTCCCAGTACTTGGTGATTTTGCTGACCTCCAGCTTCAAGGTAGAGAGCTTGCCGACTTCGATCTTCAAATCGTCGATGATGCCGTCGACGCCGGGGCGCCACTCGTCGAAGTCCTGGGCGGCCTTCTCCAAGGCCTGGATCCTGGTGGAGGCGGAGTCGTGGTTGGTCTGAATCTAACGCTCTAGACCGTCGAAGCGCTTGTCGGCGGCGGCGAAACGCTTGTCCAACTCCTCGAGAAGCATTTTGGATTCGGGATTCATGGCACCGCGTTGACGTTGCAGGCGGGGGTAGTGGTTGTGAGGTAGGGTGGAATCGGACCGATCCAAAACTGCAATCCGCCACAAATCGAACTATCCGGAGAGGGGACTTACGGAATCCTGAAGCAATACTGGAGCTCACAGATCGCAACGGGTTAGACCAACCGGCTCAGATGGATTATTTGATCGATGGATTGAGGACGCACGAACGGAAGGACCGAGGAAGGGTGTCTCTGATACCAGATGTGAGAGATAGCAGAGGGGATTGGATAGAATTGGAAGGAATCGGAGCAGAGTAGCCGGAGGAAGAAGAGGAACAGTGGGACGACGGAGGAGTTCTTCTTAGTTTAGGAAACAGAATTTGGTTTGACAAAAGTTGCTTCTTCTCTTTCACACGACTCTTTTAATGATCACAGAGGCACAGTGAAAGTGCATCTAGCCCTTTAGTGGGTTTTGGTTGATTGAATGACAACGTGATTAAAGGACTAACCCGTTTGCTAAGTGTGAACAGGTAATAGGTTATCTCACAGGTACTTAATGAAAGCCAAAATGATGTGTTGTTGTATAAACAATCTAGTTCGAGCACAAGACAACAATGCAAATGAAATTCATGTGAAGGCTTATTTTTTGTGGGATTTCCATTGACTATGTGAAAGCAAGCTCATGATTATTAGTTAATGAGACATGAGGGATTGCATATGGAATGGTCTCATATTTGAAGCTTGCTAAATTAAAATGAAAAAGATAACAATACATATGAATGGATGATTCAACACAAGATGTGACTTGATGGCTTGAGATGGTGAAGATAGCAAGGAAAGGCTTGAGGTACTAAGCAAGGGTGAAGGGCAAGCGGCGGCTTGGCGGCGAAGAACCTAGCTAGGGTGAAGAAGAAAGTACTTGCATTTAGTTGAGGTACTAATCAAGCTAAGATGGTCATATTGATGTGAAGAATCAAATCTATAATGAAGTATTTGATGGAAGTGACTTGATACATTTGGGGTTATTCAAATTTGATGAATGGAATCAAGTCACATGCTCAAGATGGCTATGCTCAAATGAAAAGATCAACATCAACTTGTTAGCACCCTTACTTGATGAAGATTGGAAGGGCGGCATCAATTCAAAAGAAATCAACTCAAGTGGTATAAATTCTTTTTCTTTTGATCTTGAGTTTAATAGGTATGCCGTACTATTAAGAGGGATGCATCATGTTGATAGATAATGTTTCATAAGTGCTCAAGCCAACCCATGTGAGGTTTGATTATTTGAGCGACAAATGTGCTAATCGATTTCTTGTTGATGCAGCAATACCGGACGTGTCCGTATTCATACCGGACGTGTCCGTGTATTTGTCCAACAATTTGCAAAATTGTTGTTCTCGGGTTGCTTCGTCGGGAGTTCCGGCGTGGGTCGGGAGTTCCGACGGTCGGGAGTCCCGCATGAGTCGGGAGTTCCGGCGTCTCGCACTTCAACACACTTTGAGGTTTCATCGTCTCGTCATACTGGGACGTGTCCGTATTCACACCGGACGTGTCCGGTATGGATGACCGAAGCCAGCGGCTAGTTTTCAAAAGCCGTGAGGTCGGGAGTTCCGACATGCGTCGGGAGTTCCGACACCTCCTCACTAACTTTAACTTACATGTTTTTCAAAATTGCTGAGGGTCGGGGTTCCGACTTGAGTCGGGAGTTCCGACGGTCGAAGTCCCGACATACTTCGGAGTTCGAGGCCTCACAACATCATCAGTAACTTAGTTACCGTTGGCCTTGATCTGAGTCATACCGGACGTGTCCGTATGCATACCGGACGTGTCCGTATTACAACAACTATAAAAACGGCTAGTTTTTCAAGGGGCTATAAATACCCCAAAGCCTCCACCTTTGGAGGCTGCTGATTCCACTGACTTAGACACATGTTTTTGAGCCTTGCCAACCCTCTCTTAGTGAGTGATTGATCAAACTTGCAAAATCAATTTGTGGGTTGAGTGAAATTCAAAAGAGAGCCATCCAACCACTTGAGCACTTGTGCATATTGTCAATCTCGTGATTCGCATTTGTTACTCTTGGACTCTTCGGTCCTAGACGGTTAGACGTCACGAGAGAGCACCCGGAGATTGTGGTGTGCCTCGGAAAGTTTAGAATTATCGATTCCGCCCGCCTCGGAATCAATTAGTGGAAGGAGGAAAAGGAGTTGGAAAAGACTCCGCTAGAGTGACCTTCGTGGTATCCTCTAGGGCTGACCTTCATTTGGGTCACCCGCAGCCCCTCAACGGAGAGTAGGACTCGAGCGAGTCCGAACTTCAATAAAACAAATATCGTGTCTCAATTCGCATTTCATTTGATATTTGTGTTGCTCTAGCACTTGTGCAGAGTTCTCTCCGTATATCTTGATAGTTAAATTAGGTGCCTGCAGTTTGGTTTGAAGATAGAAATCAAAAGGAGCAAGTTCGGGGCTGATCTGTAGAAATCGTGTATCTGGGACACGTCCGGTATTCATACCGGACACGTCCGGTATTTCCTACCTGCACTAAAATATTTATTCTCTGTTCTAACTTGATGTTGCAGGGGTTGTAGCTTCTAGATATATTCTTTATACCTTGTTTACTCTGTGGCTAACTTGTGAGGGGTGGTAGTACTCTTAATTTGGAGTTTCCATTTTGGAAACTCCCTTTCTAATTGTTTCCGCATTTAAAGGTGTTAATTTTCGTAAACGCCTATTCACCCCCTCTAGGCGACATCCTAGGTCCTTTCAATTGGTATCGAGCGCGAGGTTCTCACCTAAAGCTTCACCGCCTTGAGAAAAGGATGTCGGCGCCTATCGAGTTGGAGCCGGTGCTTCTCCAAAATGATGGTTCAAACTTTCTAACTTGGTCAATACATGTACTCAATGCTTTTAGAGATATTAGTCCTCTTGTTGAGCATATTGTAGATGCAAGCATACCTCTTTCTATAGTTGATTGGAGCAACTACAAAAATTTATCAAAAGAGGAAGAAATATGCGTGCAACTCAATGCTCAAGCTATTAATATTATTTTGAGTACATTAAGTGTAGAGGTTCAAGATGAGGCAATATTCAATGGACAACCACCTCCGGAGAGTGCTCATCTCATTTGGACTAGACTTTTGATTTATATGGAAAATCCAAATGTGATGATGCACTTGAGATCGAGTCAATGGAAAGAATATCCATTGTGTCTTCATACAAAGAAGAAGCCTCACAAAACCTCAAGAGTGCCGAGCCGAGCAAGAAGTGCAAGCAAGCATTGACCTCTTGTCTGTCTGCTTGCATGTACCGGACGTGTCCGGTATGCCTCTCACCGGACGTGTCCGGTATGGCCGAGGCAACAGAACCAAAGAAGCACTTTGTTTAGTAGCGATGCTCAAGCCGATGGCGACCAAGTGATGAGTCAACCTCAGTATCTCATGATACTCATCACTTGTGTCTCATGGCCAAGAAAAGCAAGAAGAAGAATAACAAGAAAGATCAAGAAAAGGAGAAAGCACAAGTAGATGATCAAGATAAGAGTGATGTTGAAATTGAAGACAACTACAACCTTGATCATCTCAACCATAAAGACAAGTTCATCATCATGAAGATAGTTGAAAAGAATGATGAGCTTGAAGAAGAGATTGAGAAGCAAGAGCAATCGCTTCAAAATCAAGAAAAGTTTCTCATCTCCAAATTGCAAGAGCTAAAGGCAATAAATGAGAGGTATGAAAAATTGTCAATCGAGCATGCTTTAGTTACTAATTCCTCTTCTAGTGTTTCACAACTAGAGAAGGAAAACTTCGAGCTCAAGGCAAGGCTCGATGAACTATCAAGCAAGTATAATGAGCTACAAGCAAATTATGTTCATCTAAAGTGCTCTCATGAGGAAGTAGTAGAATCAAGCATCATGCTTGAGGTGGCTCATGAGGTTGTGATTACATCGGTAAAATTCTCTCAACCTCTCACACATCCGCTCACTAGTACACCATCTCAAATAAATATTTCTTGTACTAATGAGTGTGCTCCTCAAGCAAGCCAATCTTCGATTGAGCTAAATCTTATAGAAAACATAGAGCTCAAAGAAGAAGTGCAAAGATTAAAGAAAGATGTGATTCGGTTGAAGGGTAAGGAGAAAGCACAACCTTCTCAAGATAACCGTGATAACATGGTGAAGAAGCTTGAGAAGGGTTCAAACCTTGCTTCCTCCAAAGCACAACAAAAGAATCACATCTCAAGCAAGGCCAACACAACCAAAAGCAAGAAACATGGAAAAAGGATGTGTTATGGTTGTGGATTGTATGGACATGAGTGGGCTATGTGTCCACACAAGAGTTGGGCCGACAAGGTTGAAGCCGCCAATCAAAAGGCTTCTACCAAGGAGGCCAAGCAAGTGAAGAGTCATGGACAATGTGCTTGTCTCATGAGCAAGAAATTGGGGCATCCTACCAAGAAATACCCAATGAACAAAGAAGCAAGAAAGGAAGCCCAAGTTACAACTAGAAGATGCTATGGGTGCAATGAGACGGACCATAAGCTCGATGGATGTCCATACAAGCAAAACAAGCATAGAGCAAACAAAGGCCGCATATGCTATGCTTGTAGAAGAAAGGGGCATTTAAGCTATGAATGTCCAAATGGTAAAACTCCTAAGCCGAACACATTAGTTTATAAAAATACGCTTAGGAAGACCACAAAAGGTGTTAACACTAGCAAGGTGATGTGTTCACCACAAACTAGTGTTAAAGCCATTTGGGTGCCTAAGCACTTGTTAACTAACTCAAAAGGACCCAATGAGAATTGGGTACCAAAGTGTGCCTAGGTTAATGATGTAGATACTTGGTGATGAGATGAAAGCGTCGGGGTGATTGAGCAAGCAATGTGACAATTTTCACTCA